CTCTTACATGTTGCTTAATAGGTCTAACACTCACTTCAATGTCATTAATAGTGAACGTTTGATGGTTATCTGTTAGGTAATTAGCAATTTTTAGTACTTAAGAACACACAAACTCTATTATTGCTATGCGCGACACAATCTGATATAATATCACTTGGTTGATAAAAAAGTGATATTTTACTCACAAATCTTTTATTGCAAGTCCTTCGTGGCTTCTATACATAATGCAGGGTTCCTTTGACGGAAACATGTCCATTATCGCAGCTCCAGCATAAGATTCGAGTTTGATCCCTGTTGTTGTTGCGCTCGAGGTTATGTTCCTTGTTGTTCATCATATTGACGTTAGTTGCCACTCTTTCGATTAGCAGCCACTCACAGAATACACTTTAAGAAGAAACTATAATCACAGTTTTGTTTATGTGTACACCAAATAAGGTATTAGAAACACTGTCGAAAGCGCACGCGAACGAAGCATACATGTTGCTAGTACCGCGGTCCGCCGACAACCAAAGAAATAGAAGAAAATATTGTTAATTTGCATATGTGAAATTTAAAAAAAATGTGTCGGAGTACCATAGTTCCGGAGTCCTGTTTCAGTTTGTAATATTCTATATATAACAAATGAATTTCTGTGCCTCTTTTTCATGTCCTAATTATAGTAATGTAATCGCTTAGCGGTCTGACAAAATGACCGATGACACCATCGCATCGAGTCACTAATCCCGGGAGCCATGTTCTAGTCCTTTGTAAAGTTTCTTTCTGAATATTTGTGACAATATTATTTTACTACTATATTTACAGTATGTATCGCATTAAATGTTTCAAGTACAATACATGTTTTTTCTAGATATTATGTCATTATATTAAGCATTTTGTCAAAACTGCATTACAATTGAAAGCAATTTCCAATAGAGACTTCAATGCACCTAATTGATACACAAGATCTGAAAACAAAAAAAAATATGTAATGTATATCCTAAATTGTATCTTTGTTTTTCTATAAATTATTGTGAATTGACAAAAAGTCTTATAAATCAATATTCAGAATTTGATGAACATCTATGGTACGAGACTTGTTTGAAAGAATGCGTACACAGAGTACAAATGTGCCCATTACAGACATTACACTATAATAATGATTTTAAAATGTGTCTTTTTCAAAAAGTTTTATTCTGGTTTGAGGTTATTTACCAATAAATATTTCTCAATTCATTGTTAATTTTCTTCTATTACTTATTTTTGTAAGTAATTAATGATTTATCAATATATTACTTATTTCTTATTCGTATTGTTTTATTTTGAAGCAGCATTTTCTTTTTAGTAATGCAAAAAATTCATTAATTTTGAAACTCTTCAAAGTATTTATTCTTAAAGATAAGTTTCAGCAGCTTCAATAATATTAATAAGCATTATGAAAATCGTTGAGACTTTCTGAATGCTTTCACAGTACTTTAATACAAAGAGACTATCATTGCTTGTTGACAAATAAAATATACTTATGCTCTATATTTTGCTGAAATAATTTTACTTCATAACCTCTATGTACTGTGCTTCTCAGAGAATTGAAATGAAAAGTCTTACTCTGGTTGTGTCATTTTCTAGAACTTCTTTCCTGAGTATAAAAAAAGAAAAAAATGAATAAAAGGCATTGATGAACATCTAAGTGAAAGCAGATTTTATAGTAAGATAAATGACACCCATAAATAAAAAATTAAACCGACCATCAGTCAAGTTCAATGATGATAAACCAAACCCAGTACGACAATTTTATGGGAAGTAGAGGCACAAGAACAAAATCGTTTCAATCTGTTGATGACGCCACGTCAAAAATTGAGAAAAAATAAATTTGAAATGGGAAATTTTATAAATATAGCAAACGGGAGGACCAATAAGATAAAGTGAGGTGAACTTTTCTACAAAAAATATATCCATTTTTTCTTCTTCAAAAATAACTTCGTATTCAAATGAAGTTCGTATCTTAGATAAACATTTATTTTACAGTGTTCTTTTTACTATCCGTGTGCAATATTCTATTACTTTCGGAGGGAGCGAGAGCTAAAATACGGATAAATGTAGGTTAAATAAATAAGATTTATTGTATAGGCTTCGTAACGAAAAGTGAAATAAAAGCTGATCTACTTTCCCTCCTTTTACGCATACCCACTGCACATTTTTCACGATCTCACCAACAATTTACAAATTCCCGCAAGCATTCCTGTACCAGAGCCTAAGGGGTGTTTGCGTCATCGACCGCGCAGGCGGTGGATGACGAAGAGAGCGGCGGCTGCGGCTTCGACGGCACAACCGCAACCCAATTGTGCCAAATACGATATTTTTAAAAGGCCCAGCCCGTCCGCTGAAACAACAGCACTCTGCGCTCTTGCCTCACCTGATGACATTTCTCGGCGACGAAGCACCGCTCGAGTTCACCCCCACCCTACCACTCTCCACCCCCTTACCCCTACCCTCCCCCTCCCCACCCCAGCCCAGCCTCGGTGGTTTCACGCGCTATGCACTGCTTCATACAGCGCCCTGGTTTATACCCAATTCCTAGATCCGAGGGTAGCTACGTATGGATCTAATCAAAAATCGCATCTTCACAACTTCGAAATTATTTTATACTACACCCAACATTTCTCACTTATCAAATAAATTTAACCTAAGGCGTAATGCTGTGCACCCTTGCCATATCAAATCCAACTTCCCAAAAGATAAATTTCGCCCCCCGTAAGTACATGGTAAAACCAAATCAAACATTTAGCCTAATACTAAAGTATGCAAATGTTAAATAAATACTAAACCAAGCCCATCCCAATCGAACACCTTAAAAAGGAAACAGCGATGCCAAGCTCGAAATGCCAAGGATCTCCATTCCTAACAATGAATAATCTATTGTATCCAAGTCCTTGAAAGGACACACGGCCGAACAAGAAGAAAAAAAGCACTACCGCCCCACTCTCAGGCACGTCGCTAGGGGCCTAGTGAGAATATCTTGTAATGCCCTGAGCTAGTCTTAATACGCATACAACTAGGCTTTAAGTGAGTATTGTTTCCGGAAACGTTAACTACTTTTATCATTAGTCCCGAAATCGTCGTCTATGTTACACCCTGGGAGGTGGCGATGTCACTCCCCTGCTGGAACGTGAGACGTGAAACGGCAGCGACCTACACGTTGTCTTGGAGATTTTTTCCACCTCCAGGTGTTTCCCCGGAGGAGTACCGCCCCAGCCGGCATAAGCTCTAAGCTAACTGGTCTTCCGACATTTGTGCAAATGTATTGCACGTGCAATACATATGTTGTAAGATGAGGCGATGGTACAAGGTTGAGGAAAGAACGTGAGAATACGTGGCATGTTTGTTGGGGGTACTTTTGTGGCATTTGGATAGTACTTGATCGGTTATACCATGCAGAACTGATCAGAGCTGTCGGCCGCTAGAATTCACCTCAAGACAGTTGTTGAAATCGACCCGGGTATGTATCACTATCGGAACCCTAAAAGGGTGCGCCACTGAGATGTAGATTCGCACTGTAGATGCAAGCTTGTTGTCACTGAGCCTTCGAGGCCTATTGGTTTCGAGCCAACCTGGGTAACTGAAGGAGTGAAGACGGACGAGCTTTAACCCTCGTACCATACCTGCTCATTTACATCAAGTACTATACTTGAGGTCTATTCTCGACTCGACAACAGAAAGTAGAAAACATATATATGTACGGCAATATACTGTGTATAAAATTCTTTTTATATAAGGATACCTTTTCTAAGTTATTTTCAGTAACATAATAAATGTACTATTTTCATATTAAATATTGCATATATAATGAATAACCTCCATCATACATAGCCTCCATTGTTAATACTTAATGCTTCAGAAATATTTATAGAAGTTTGTGAAAATTATTTTGAGATAAATCGAATCATTTTTGTTCATTTAGTCAAATTCATGACAAGATGTTTCAAATGATAATAGAAAAATAAGAGATTATACCTCAAATCAAACTGCATAATGTAACGAAACAAATTAATAACTCTCTTACAAAATTTGGGAAATATGTGAAAATGGTTTTGTATCTGCTTAATAAGTACACGAATGCATACCTAAAAGACTGAAATTATCCTGCAAATATTGAGAAAAATATTAACACCTTAATGATGATAGGGGTCCAAAAAGACCTCAGATATGGTTAACGGTCTCAGTGCAAAGGATCGCGGGTGCGAGTATGCTTGAGGATTTTTGGTACGTTGGAGCTCTCCTAACCCCCACGTTTCTCGTATCATCCGTTTCTTGAATATCCCATCTGTGAAAACACAAGTCACAAAAGAATACTATTCCTCGTGGTACCGTTGAAAGTGGTCAGATAATTCAGTCTTTTGTTTTTCATTGACACCTTCCTCACCGCTCAGCACCAAGGTAGGTGTCTCAGGCATCATCTGATGTCACAACATCCTTCGTGGAGGTTCTAGAGTTGTAGTTCCCAACGGTGGCAGGACACTATCTAGATAGCTACGGATACTCGTAGGTGGAATTAAACAACTGCCTCGAGAAGATTTCTAGCCGGTGGCTTCCCTGTCCAGCAGTTTTCCGTTCCTTCGCCGTTGAGTACCTGGCTAAGGGCGGAACAGTACCTTAACAAACGGGGCGAGGACCACATGCGATCTTTCCATCGTCATCCTTGTTCCCTCTTCCTAATATACAAACACACTTCCCAGCTGGCGCACTGCCCCTCTGGAGGAGGAAACTCCCACAATCCGACGTGTAGGTAGGCGGCCGATCTCTCTTTTGGCGGAGAGAAATATCCCACCTCCCGAGACGTAACCACTCCACGAAAAAACAACCACGTGCACCACTCTTACGGAATAAACAAACCCAGCCGTTGGCGCGCCCGGAAATAGAAAACATCAATCAATCCAAGAATAAAACCACAGTGCCCCCTCCCACGAGCACGAGAGTCGCATCCCCCCCCCGTGCCCCGAGTGACGTGTGTGCTTGCTCGTGCGCAGGTGGTGGTGCCCAAGCGAACGGCGATGCTGCTGGACCGCATCATGACGGAGCTGCAGCACGCCATGGGCGAGGGTGGCAGCGCGGCCGGCGGCGGCAGCGCGGGTCCCAGCAGCAGCAAGGCCCCCGTCGTCGACCTCCCGGACACGGTGAGCTCTCCAGCAAACGAGCCAGCTTAAGGCCTGGCAAATATATGGCTTAAAAGGGATTTATGATACGAGTGGTAAAAGTGAAATTTTATTTTGAGAGTAAGAAAGGTTGCAACCTGAGGCCGATAGGCGTATTCCTACGAGTAGAATGAAATCACGTTGACAACGTCTCATACACTATTTTTAGGAAGGCTTGCTGACTTTTGTTTCATTTGAATTGAAGAGTATTGATGACTTTTGATACTTTAAGGCCAGCTGTAGCTGGTGCGGTCAGACAAAATCCTTTTGTTTTCTTTCTTGCATTAACATTTATTTGAACACTTGAGTATCGTCTCACTTTTAGCACTAGTGTTATCATACGCATGCCGTAAAAGAAGCGTTAATGGCTGTCTAGACCAGGTATTTCATATGCAGAGTGAGTCACGTAACTTCAGCACTTTGTATAACTTTTGAACGATTGAAGTTATTGTAATGGAGCTTTCAGGAAAGTGCAGGAAAGAATGGGGCTAATTGATATGCGTATTCATTTCTATTTTATCACTTGTACTTTACGAGATATTTGGAGTAACTTCTTTTTCAAATAGAACTATACATATTTTTCGGTCTACCATGACGAGTGTAAAAAGACAAATTAAATGATATACATATTGTCATGTGTTAGATACTAATTGTACATATGTATTTGAAGATACGATACATATTCTAAATATTCACAAAAGCCTTGCAGTGTATTTAGTTTCAAGATCCCATTAATATCCTGTAATATGATACCCCTTTAAATTAATGGAAATAATATTTGTTCAATGCATACTACTTATGACAAATCCGTATTTTCAATCCTTAAGTAATACAAAAAATGTGAAAATACGGAAGGAAGGAAAGCAGAGTTCAGGAAAAAACAGCTAGTTTTGTGAATATTTGAAATATGTTTCTTCATATCTTCAAATACTAAGTTCAATACTGCGTGACTTTGTGTGTCGGACTGTTACATTCAAAACATACGTTAAACATTTGTCGCAAAACAATCAAAATTACTCAAAAAATGCTTATCTAACATATGACGATGTGTATATAAACTGATACGACTTTTTACGCTCCTCATGATTAAACCAAACAAAATATGTATTGTTCCATTTGAATGAACGTTACCTCAAATATTTTGCAAATACAATCGGTAAAATAAAAATAAATGCACTTATCAATTAGCCCCATTCATGTGTGTGTATGTGCGTGTATGGCTGTCAATGATAATTACTTTTTTGACAATGAGCACATGTCCAGACATCTTATATTATAACGTTACTAGTGTGTTGTGCCCCTAGGCAACACTTAATGCACTGGTGTTTAACAAGAAGACGAAATGTCTCCGCCTCAGAACGTGAAACGTGACTTTGCGTTATTGCAAAAGGCGTAGAATAGGGAGACTGGAGAAAGAAGGTAGCGAGGGGATCGGCAACGTTGAGAATTATTAAATTGTGGCTTGAATTGAATTTGGTTTCCAGTTACTTAATAATAAAATTAATAATAATTGCATTTTTGTTTTTGTCTCTTTCCCTTCTAATAAAAAGTTGCACAGAGCATTTTTTGGAATATCAAATCAAAGTTCAAGCATAATAATTTTACCAGACATCTTTAATACTTGTCTCGTGGAAAAATGCACTTCAAAGAAAATATCTAAAACACTTGACATTACTCCGAGGCTCTCGAAGTTGATGTGCACGTCTGTTATTCTATTTACCCGTCGAATTTCTTTAACTCTTGTCGGAAAACTAACGTCAACAGTAAATAAAAACCTTAATAAAAATATCGTTGTTACGAGTTAATTTTGTTTCTGTTAATGAGAATAATAAAGATTAATAGAAACGTATGTTTCAGATGGATCTCCAACGTCGCGGACAGCAAAAGGGCAGTCGAGTGTATTGGCGGTGCTACTTCAACGCTGTCACCTGCTTCAGGAGGAAGTGACGATCCAAATAGGCGCATTTTTGTAACGAATCAGAATGTCTAGCCGCTATGTTATTTCAAACAAAGGTTCCTTATCTCTTTTTGATGATTAATTTGTGACTAAATGAGAGGACTTCAGCTCTATGGGGTTCACCTAACAAAACTTAATTAGGAAGCTGGAAGTATACAGAGCCTAAATGTACCATTTTACGTTACGTTTACCGCGTATTCGTGAATATTTAAGGTACGAAACGAATGAATAATTAAACCAGTTTAGAAAACAAAAACAAATCAAACATTAATTTCTCCTCTGCGCCAAAAAGTAATCTAATACATCAAATTTCAGATAAACACTTATAAAAAGAGAACCTGAAATTCCGAACATAAGAATTGTCACATTAAATGGTGTAAAAAATATTTATTTTTGTCTTTGTATTAATATTTATTACATGGTTACTTGAAATAAATTCTATACTATATATAAACCTGTGTCCACCCAGTTACATTTCTTATGACCATCCAATTAGAGCAGATTTCTGTTCAAATACCTTAATCTCTCCATGAAAAATAAAAGTACGTGTTGCATTAAAATATGTTCCCTGATTGTATTAAGAACCTGTCTCTCCTTTCTAAATCCTAATCCAACAGTGATCTATGAACAATGGAAGACAACAATACATATTGCCTCATTTCCATCACAACTAATTTAATAAGTACTATGAGAATTAACACCAGTTCTGTTGCAACAGGCGTGGAAGTAAAGTATGAATAAAGGAATCCATTCAGAAACAAAATCTTTTTTTAATTCTTAAAACATTGTTTATTTACTCACATAGCATCTCATTTTTTTAAAATTGTTTTGCTGTTTAGAGTTATTTTAGAATTTTGTTTTAAATTGTCGTTTAAATTACTGAAATGCATAAATCCTATTATCTACAATGTTATTTAACATTAATTTCTGTAAATAAATTACAACAGTATTAGTTTAATTTCATTTTTTCATTAGTAAAATAGTGACTTGTGTGTAAAAGTACTTGAGGGTTTTTGACGTAGGAGACTAGAACGTGACCCATGGAGAAATCAGTACTTTTTGTCATTATGTTCTCGCCTGGAAACGGTAGCGAGCGGACGTGCGCCGAGCGCTCTCCTTCACGGGCGACTTCAGTG